TGTATTTGGAGGTCATTTTGATATTTTAAAGATTTTTGGACCGGGATTTTTCGTGTTCGAGGCTACTTTTTGAGATCATTGCACTCCTTTATTTTTATTTAATGCATATTTATGTGATTCGGTGCTTATATGTATAATTATATCATGTTTAGTAGGTGTATGCACAAAAAGGTAACATTTAGATATTTTTGGGGTTAACAGGACTCACGATTGACCAAACATGATATAAAGGACCAGATGATCATTTTGTGATCATTTTCCTTCTTTTTTTTTTAGTTAAAGCAGCCCCCCCTCTCTCTCTCTCTCAAACATTTTCTCTCTCTAAATCTACTACCTTCAAGCCTCTGATTCATCTTCTTCCATCAAGATTTGGACTTTGCCTTTGAAGACAAAGTTAACGAGCTCGGCAAGGGCACTTTAGGATTTTGAAATTTGGGGAAAATTTGGGGCTTTTGCTCAATCTTTGAGGTAGGGGTTTCTAAAACTCAGATTCGTTGATCCTTGTGAATTAATTCTTTTATATGTGCTATGATTATATGTAAAATGTGAACATAAAGCTTGTTAGTTAGGGTAATTGTAGCAAGTGATGATATACATGCTTTTAGTGCCATATATATGTGTTAAATTTCATGCCTATGTTAACTATTATGAAATGATATGCTTGAAGGATATTGTTGCATGAATTACTTGTCTAAATGCCATGAATGTGAAGTTAATAATATGAAAATTGATGTGTAAATTGTCTCTCAAGCATGCAAGTATGATTATATTTTAATGTATGAGATTCCATGTTGGCATAATGATGACATTATTGAGACACTCATGTACTGGCATTGGGTGAGGAACAAGGAAATTGACTTTTGAAATGAAAAAATATATATTGACTTTGGGAAATGTTTTGAAAAGATGTTTGCGAAAACCAGACGGTAAGGAGTCGTCTTATGTCTGTGGTGTTAATGGAATCTAAAGGGAACTTAGGGAGACTGCCCTATGCATGGTTGACCTAACTAGGCCCCAAATGACGCTAGGGAGTTGCCTTAGGTCAGGATAGTTAGCCAATCCTTCTCTCATGGCTCCATGGAGTTGCCATGGGCCGGGTTACATTAACGGTTTGATAGTTGTTGTGATTAGTAAATGTTTTGGAAATAGAGAATGACATTACATTGCACTGGCATTGCATTTATAGCGCTTGGATTGTATAATGATGAGTATGTGATTATTTTTTCCCAAAAATTAAGCAAAATCCCCTTATCTATATTCTATGCTTTGTGTGTGATTCACTGGATCATTAAGAGATTTGTTTTGAGCACCTCCTACTAAGCCGTTGTGCTTACCACTTTATTATTATTTTCAGAAACCGGGAAAGAAGTCATAGAGGACCCACTATCTCAAATGTGATGACATTGAGGATTTTCTTTTGTCTACTTCATGCTTTGCCATTTGAGACTTGTAAAATTGACGTTTTAGACAAATGTAATATATGTGTATCTATTTTGTCCCAAACTTGTATGTAATGGTGTAATAGAACTTGTTTTGGCCATAAATGATATAACCGGATCCATTTTATTACATGTAATGTGTTAAGCTCATTTAATGTTTATATGACTGCATGAATGTCAAATAGTGGTCGTATTCGATTATATGAGTGTGGTTGGGATAGGTTTACATCATACTTAAGCTCACAAATGAACCCGAATGCTTTTAAGACCTTGAGAACCCAATAACAGCCACATTTTTCACCTCCCAGGGCCAGTCGACCGGCTGGTGATATAAGCCAGTCGACCGATAGTGCATTTTGAGCCCAGACAGAGAGTTGAGAAGTTTGGATCATCATTTCAGGCGACTGACCATCACTGCCAGCCAACCGACCCTCTTATTTCGGCCAGCCGATGCAGGGCTGTTAGTTGACCAACGAAGCCCAGTCCGCCTACCCTTGTAACCCTTCCCATTTAATGATGCCACAGTGCATTGTAAAGCATAATATGACATATTAATTGTATTCCAACATTGGAAATGACCCTATTTCCCTTATATGACCTCGGGTTCGGATAAGGACCCGAATAATGATCCAAACCCCCGAGTTTAGGTCATTACAATTCAATTAGGGTTGATGATGAAATGGAGGTAGTCGGTGTAAAGACACAAGCCCATGAAAAGTAAGTTTTGAGACAAGCTAGAGGATGTTCGTTTTCAAGATAGGGTGAAGGTAATGGTATAAAGAAGTGTGGTTCGTTGTTTTAAGTAAGAAAATAAATTGATGATAATGAGTTGATTGATTGGTGGGTTGCCATGCGTGAAAAATTCAACACCAATAGGGATGATGAATGGCGTTTGATTCGAGGTAAAGAGATCTTCAATCGAGATAGAGTTATGGAAGAGCATGTGAAAACGAATTTCAAGCTAGGGTGGAGATTGTTGGGTTTTGTGCCTTGAATTCGGTATAATTGTTGGGTAATGGGCAAGGCAAGACCCGTCAGTCGATCTATCTCTCTATTTTCAATATTTTTATTTTTTAACCAAATCCCTTATCTTTGTCACTTGAAGGCATGGTTTTCAACCAAAGTTATAATACATACACATGATAAGCGCTGAATATTGCACATTCTAGCCCTTAGATTTGCATATTTTAATACCTTAGTAATGTTTATTTTATATTACTTATGTTATTTTCTTCATTTTTTTTTTTTAAGTAATCTTTAGAAATTCAGTCAATTATGTTACTTTTAAGGTCTATGAGTTCAATCAACGGATGGAGACCGCGAGAGTTAGAGTATCTAAGGTGATCCAATGACTAAGTTGATTCAAGGATAATTTTAGAAGACTTTTAAATGAGCTTCTAGCTAGTCAAATTCATTTTTGGGTCCTTATATGAAGAAAAGAAGGTTTCCTAGTCCAATAAGAAAAGAACTTGAGCAGGAAAGTCTGGACCCGCTTTAGTATTTTGAGCATAACGTTTTACCCAAAACTCGAAATTGGGCAAACTCAATGACTTTAGAAATAGAACTTAAGCCCATCCTTTTTATTTCTAATAGTAATTTCAAGATTCGTACTTCAAATAGGTCAAAACAGCTTTTTAAACTGACAAAAATATAGAAGCCTATATTGGCTTATTTCCTTTACTGACCTTTTCTATTTCCTTTCTTTAGAAGGAAAGCCTACAACATGTGGATATAAAAAGGAGATGTTCAGCAGAAAAAAATGGAGATTACAGAGGATACAAGAGAGACCTTATGGCAGCTTTTAGTGTTTTGAAGATTAAAGAAAAAGATCTAAAGGAGTTTTTGGTGGTCCATGGATATGGCTTGTATAACATCAATGATGACATATTTCCTCTCCATGAGTAGCTAAACTCCATCTTAGGGCCTTGATGTAACCCGAATCCAAATAATATGGTTTTATTGTCTTTTAACTTTGGGGATTTTCATTACTTATGTATTTTGATTGCATGATTAAGAGCAACTGACTTAGGATTTTTTAGCAATTGGAGTTTTAATGAATAAAATTGGTTTTTAATGAATTTTGTCTTAGAATTTATTTTACTTTAATCAAATCCGAACTATTCTTATTATTTAAGATTGGTGATTAAGAGATTCTCATAACGATCTGAATAGTGATCATGCAATAGTGTTTAAACTGTTTTATGAATGATTGTTTTGATAATCTATGCTTAGGAAAGACAAATTGTACTGCACCCTATATTAAAGTAGTTAAGTAGACAATTTGTGCCAACCGAATATATGTTATTTCTTTACGTAAATTCATGATTTATCTTCTTGAAATTAAATTAAATTGAATTTTACTTCATTTAATTCTTGATCATGCATAAATATTGAAATCCCTAAAGTTGAATCAATTGACTATATTATAAGGTTCGTGGTGAAGTTAAGCCATAAGTATTTCTTCTCTTGATCTCAATCCTTATTTCATTGCTTATTTTTATTTTTATATTATTTAGATATAAACAAACAGAAAAATCTTTTATCTAAATTAATTTTATACTTGACAATTCACCACAGTCCTTGATGTTCGACACCCTCAATATAGCCCTATCCTACAAGGATTCGTTCTATTGCGAGTGATTTTTACAGTTAAAAAATAGACACATCAACACACACATATATATGCATACATATATGTATTTACATATACTTTGTAGAACACTAGAACTTTAGAGAATTACATATATTCTTATAGATCCTTGTAGACAGTTACAATTTATTTATTTATTTATTTTTGATCTTTTAAATTTTGTGGGTATCTTTATTTTCTTTTATTTTTGAAAGTTTTTAGATTATTAGATCTTTTAGTAGAATATAAATATATTTTCATAAATATCACAACATATATTTATGGTTATTGATTAATTATATTTAGATGATTTATTTCTTTTATGGTTATTGTGGATTTGTGACTTGTGTCAATTTAAATAAAATGACAATCTATTTTATTATTTGTAATCTTTTCTTATTTATTTTATTATTTGTTACATATTTTTTTATTATATATAATAATAAAATAATAAGATGTGTATAGTCAAATTTTTAATCCCGAATTTTTAACCTATACAATGTATTATATACTTACCTATTTGAACCTAATTTTTGTAACCTGCTTTTAAAATAAACAGAATTATACTAGTACGTTTTCGAATCTGGCTTTTTGTTTTTTGCATTTTACTAACTGGTCAATCTAGATCTGTATAATCATTGGATATCATCGTAAAAGTCAAAAACCTAATATTCTTTGAATTTTATGTACCAGTGATCATTTAATAGTTGGATAGGAATTCAAATTATAGAACTCATCATTATAATGACGCTGACAGTCATCATCTAATGATTTCCAAACTCAGCCTTTTCAAGTTATACATCATTCTGCATGATTTATGCATACAACTAGAGTTAGTCTTTTCGTTTTATTGTGTGCGTATATATTTGGCATGTATTCATGTAATAAAATTTAAAAAAATGCTAATAGACAAGGTAGATAGACATTCTTACCTGGGATGGATTCATGTCAGTGGTTACTGCTTCGAATGGAGTCATGTTTTTGTTGTTGACAGCCATATGATCCACTCTACTGTGATAAACAAATTCGTAAATCCGTTCCCCAGTTTTAGCAGAATACAGATGATAAGGTGTGTTTCCATCCATGTCTTTCTGATTTAGAAGGCTTCCGAGTATGGAGGAATATTGCAGGAAAAAACAGATTACATTATTTTGGTAATACTCTATTGCAATGTGAAGGATATTTTGGCCTTTACTGTTGGTCATTTCCCAACAATCTGGACATGTAAATAAAAGCTTTTTCATAACATCGATGTGACCTTGACTAGCTGCTATGTGAAAAGGCGTCATATTGTTATTGTCAGCACCGAGGTACACCACGGATTTATCTAGATCAAGGAGTTGTTCAACCACCGATACATCGCCATGCCATGCAGCGTAGTGAAGTGGTCTCCATCCAAATACATCTTCTTCCTTGGTTAGTGATGACTTCCAATCGTGTAAAAATTTTATGCATTCTGAAGAAGAACATTATATTGACAGTTCATACTAAAAAGTGAAAATAAATCATTGCTATATAACATATAACAGTAAAAAAAAAAAAAAAAAAAAGTAAAAATATTAGGAATGGCATGCTTTTTCGTTTTTAAAACATGATAATTAGGATTTCTTATTAATATGGTAAATGAAAAATATCACAAATCGAATCTTGTGATATTTATCAGGTCATTCGTGATCATTTTGGCGTCTGTGCTTAAACACGGTTTATATATGATATATTCCCATGTAATACATATATTTCACCATATTTATAATTAACCATAGAGAGTATGATATTCATCAAAAGGTAAACAATGTTTGATGCAAAACCTATGCCTACAAAGGATAATTCCTATATCTTGTCCTGAAACTATAACTTCTATGATACTCCCAATTTGAGATTACGTTTGTATCTCTTCTCCATATTAGTGTTTGGGATTATGGGGGTGACTATCAAAAAGTTTCAAGGCATCAATAAGAGGGATTGAAAAGACCAGTAAACCGATTGCATCTTCACCTCCCTGGCATCTGATAATTCCTTTATTGATTAACATGGACGCTTAAAGTTTTTTATAATTAAATTTTGATTGATATTTTTTTTACTACAGTTAAATTTTAAAAACATGCATAATTATACAGAAATTAAAAGAGTGAAGAAGATAATATATATATATATATATATATATATATATATATATATATATATTTATATAATAAAATCATTAGTAGAGAAAAGTATATTATAGATGGAGAAAGAAACATTGTGAAATTGTTCTTTTTATCTTTTTCTTTAATTGTTCATATGTTTAATTTGTTAAAATATGAAATATAAAAAAATAAGTGTAATATGAATTAAAATAGAGGACATTCATATTTTTTTAGTTATCATCACATTAAAATTCGAGATATGCAACGCTGCTCACCATAAAAAAATTTTATTACATGAGGTTTGATATATGAGCTATTGGTTTGTGTGTGAGTGGTTTTTTTTTTTTTTTTTTTTTTTTTTTTTTTTTTTTTTTTTTTTCATCTCCAAGTGAGCTAGGAAAAACTTATGGAGAAAATATTTAGTTAGTAACTACTTTGTTCTTACATGAGGTTTGACATATGCGGTATTAGTTTGTGTGGCTGTTAGTTTTTTTTTTTTTTTTTTTTTTCAATTCTTTCTTCAAGTGCGCTAGGAAAAACTTATGGAGAAAAGATTTAGTTAGTAATTACCTTTGTTACGGCGAATCGTTGCCGCGTGCGTAGCTGTTCTTACATTTGGACCAATGTAAACCGGTGAAATGCAATTATTCCGAATTTCAGACACAATAACTAGATAATCTCTCTCAGCGGCCAAGTAAAGTGGACTCTCCGTGGCATTATTGGGAAAATGCAAAAATTGAGGGTCTTCTGTAGTCAGAATCTCAACCACATCACGATGATTATTACGCACAGCTCCGAACAAGGCCGTGTCACCCTCTACATTCCTCATCCTCAGCAGGATCTCCTTGGTAACTCTAGTCCCGCTTTCTAGGTCGTCTTCGTCGCTTTCTGTTTTCGCATATTCAATGAGTGCTTGTACTATGTCGGTGTGACCTTCCCTTGCTGAAATGTGTAGTGAAGTCTCACCTTTGATATTCACTGAACAAATCAGTGATCGACCGCACTTCTGTAAGATCTCCTTCACACACTGTGTTTTGCCGTATTGAGCTGCGACGTGAAGGACTGTGTTTTTGTTGGGGGTCAGTTGGACTTTAAGTTGATCAGCATTTAGCCCAATCAGGAGATCAACTCTTTCCCTAAACACAGTCCAGAATAAGCCTGAATTCATTGTTTCTGTTGGGCTTCGGGAATTAGGCTGCCTTATCCTTCAGAATCTCATGAAGCTTTGTACATATATATATATATATATATAGATAGATAGAGGGGGGGGGGGGGGTTGAAAATGTCCTCCCCCCTTAATTTGTAAAACTTTTAAAGATACCCCCATCTCAATTGATAAAAATATTACACTTCACATTCTTGTCCAAATTGATTTTTTGGATCCAATAAATAATCATCTCTTGTTCACTCGCCCGCCACATTCATGATTCACTCTCACACACTTTGATATTCTCACTCAATTTTTAAAAATACTCACTATATATATTCTTACATTCTAGATCAAAAGAAAATAAAGTAAATCGACTTTCTTATTTCTTTCCATCCCGCAGGTAATCTAGAAAGCAGAAACCCGATTAAAAGATCAAAGAATCTGTGTCAGATAAGTCACAAAAAATTAAATTTTTATATTTATTATTTTATTTTGAAAAGTTATCTTTAAATTTTTTTTTTAATCATCAACAACATCCCCTTGCAAAAAAAAAAAAATTACTTGATCCATTACTATCTATCTATATATATATTTCGAGCGACCAAGATTTGAGATCACGCCAATATCTATCTATCTATCTATTTATATATATATATATATATATGCAACTGAATTGACTTTGGACGACTTTTAGCGTGATCTCAAATCTTGGTTGCTCGAAAGATGCCTTCACATGGATATAAAAAATAATAATAATAATAAAAAAATGCCTTTACATAATTATCTAATTGTTAGGTAAACTAAAATGACATCACTGACGACACCAAACTTACGTAAAAGATTTCGTACCTTTTTTTTTTTTTCCTTTGTGAAGATTATGTGTTGTGACACTACCTCCATTTCTTATTAATTGTCCATCTTTAATTTTATAACTTTTTAAAAGGACATGTAATTAATGCATTGTTCCCTTTTAAAATTACCAAATTGTCTTTTTTAATTTAATTATATATAGTTACAAAGTTTAAATTTTTTTAAAAAGATAAAGGATAATTATGGAAATATAAAGAAAATATGCTTTGACTTTTCAAAAAGGATAATTAATTTGTGACATAAAAAAAAAAAAAAAAAAATGAACAACTAATAAGGGACGGAGAGAGTATTATACATGGAGAGCTTTATTGACTTGTTAAGTGGGATTCTATAATACTACATCCGAGATGGTGCCAATGAAGGTTTGGGCTACATGTCCCTGAGTTGGCCGGTACTTTGTAATTCATGTGATAATTTTTTTAATTTTTTTTTTTATATTTAAAAAAAATTATATAATATACCCTAAATTTTGTAGTTCCTAAAATTATTTTTTTATTTTCTGTTTTACTCTTCAAATTCTTTAAATTTCCTTAATAGAAAAAAATTAAAATTTCCTTCCTCAATTGAAAATTTTTAACTTTATCCTTTTAAAGTTCTCTCATTTTTGTTTTTCTACATCTACTCTTAAAATTCTTCTTTTTATCGTGGATATTTGAATAATTTTCTTTTCTTTGTCTTTTGAATTTTATAGTTTTATATATGTGTGTGTGTGTGTGTGTGTGTGTGTGTATATATATATATATATATATATTTACACTCCATATTTTTTTTTTTTTTTATTAGCAGCGTTCCCCCCCCCCCCCCCCCCAAAAAAAAAAAAAAAACTTGAAATCCTGGCTCCGTCCCTGACTATATCTATATGGGTGGAAAATCCTCTCCGGTTAAACAGTGTTCAGTTTTCTCTATTTTAAAATAAGTGGAGAAGAAGTGTCTACGTCACTTAAAAAATGGAGTTAAACAATTTTAACTGCTCCTATTTTAGTTGTATTACATGGGTATAAAATTTTCAACCATTATATAATAAATACGATATAAGTTATAATAATACATATGGTGGACCCAGAAATATGATGTGTCAATGTATTGTTTGGAATTCTCAATTTAGCCCTTACTTCATTTTCTATGAAGAATAAGGGAAGGTCTGTGCTGAGGCTTGCTTCGCCCTTCCTCTCTCGTTTTTATGGTTGGTTTGAAATTAAGGTTGTATAAGTTCAATTGGTGTTGATTTCGTAAAATTTCTTCCATTTTCTGTATAATTCTTGCTTTGTTTATTCATTCATAGTTGGTTGTTGTTTATCCAATCTCAAAATCACACGGTTAGTGGGGTGGATACCACAGTTATTGTCTTTCAAATTATGGCTTTGTTGGGTTCATTAAATTTGTTGGTGGAAATCGAAGAAGTTGGGTCACTATATTTTTTAGGGTTTGAAATGGTTAGGATGAAGATTATAGCTCATAAGAAATCAAATGAAAAAAAGAAAATTGTACATCTTCGAAAGAAGAAAACCATCCCTGATCCTTCTCCTACTAAAAAATGTACTATTAATATCAATGCAAATAATACTTATTAGGTTAGTCAGAGTTCTAAAATGGCCTCTGACAATGATTCAGATTATGAGCCACCTGAAGAAGCAGATGAAAATGAAGAAGAATTTCACCGCAAGGAATATAGTACGACATCTGCAAAGAGCAAAGAAACCGTTTCACGACGTCCTTGTAGAGTGTTCATTTTGTTTAAGTATGTATTAATATTCAGTTTCTCATTGAAATTTGGTTTCAATTTTAGTTTCCTTTATCTTATCATTAGAATGAAATATATTATGTTAGCAGGACAATTAGTTTTTCATAATTCCCAACTTGAAATAATTATATGAATTGGTCATTAATTTAGAATTGTAAAATCATGAAAATGTAGAAACAAATTGAGAAGTTATATTAATTTCACACTCGAGAACATAAAAAGTAGGGCTGCAACACGGACGGGTTAGGCAGGTTTAAGATATAACTTGAGCCTAACCCACTATATGAAATACTAAATCCAAGCCCAACCCTAACCCTATCCTCAACCTTAACTACTCAATACAAGCCCAACCCAGCATTTTTCTTTTAACGGTTAATTTCACTCACACTCCTTCAAGTTTGACCATTTTTCATCCTCAAATATCTTTCGAAAATAACTATCACTTACATTATAAACTTTTGTTCCATTTTTCACTAACACCCCAACCGCTACTTCAATAGTTTTGACATAATGCAAAATGACTAAAATAGCCTTTGACTTTGTCAAAACAACATTTTGCCCTTAAAAATATAGATTAAAAGACTAAAATAACCCTAATTTTTCTGTAAATTTACAAATTATTTACACACACACACACACACATATATTTACATACACATAGCGCATAACACCGTCGATAAGCACCACACCACCGGTCCACAGACCAACACCAGTGGCCACCTCAACACCACCAGACCTACCCTCACCCCCACAACCACCACCACCAGCCCCATGCTCACCCCCACTAGACCCACCACCAAAATAGTCGTCAAACCCTACCATCCTTGTCGTCGCTGCTCGTTACCGAAGCGATAACTATTACAGTCGTTACTCTTTAATTTGTTCACACCCAGTTCAAAGTCATCCTCTCCGTCAACGTTGTTCTCCGTCGCCGGTAACAACAGACCCACTTCTCTGGTCCTTCATTTCATCGAAGATCGCAAAATCCCCATGGTCATCATTCTGAAAACTCATCGGAGTAGTTGGGTCTTCATGTCATGTGTTGATCCCCGTCACCTTCTTTGGCAAGAGTAAGCAAAGAAAATGATATATCTAATTGAGTCACATAACACCACCAACAAAACCTTACTGTATCCACTCTTTTGGTTCAGTTTTATTGAGGGTCACCCTGCCCAGTGCATTTCTGATTAAATAAGTCTATTTATTGAGTTCATCACCACCGGCATATTTGATCTTCTGTGTTCGTCCCTTTTGGGTTTAATACACCGCTATGAGTTTGATTTGGGGTTACGATTTGAGGGTCGTGGTGGTGGCTATCAGCGTTGGCGACTCCAGTCGTGGTGGTGATGGCATAGGTGTGTCGGTGGCTGTAGGATGAGTATGCCAGTGGCTGTCATCGGTTATGGTGATGGCGGCACCGGTGGCGCAGATGGTGGTGGTGGTGGTAGGTGGGTGTAGGGGGTATTATGGTCATTTAAGCATGGGATTAAAAAATTAAGGGTAAAGTTGTCTTTTCCGATGTATTTAATGGAGTCATTAATAGAAAAACAGAAATGGACCTAACTAATAGTTATTTTCAAAAGAAATTTGAGAGTGAAAATTGGCTAAACCTGAGGGGGTCTTAGTGAAATTAACCGTACTTTTAAATTCAGGCTTGCAACTAGGGTTTTGATTCAGAGTAAAAATTCTGGATTAATTTGGGTTACTCATATGACTAATCTTTACATCAAAAATTTAATATGATCTTGAATTAGTTTTAGAATAAATTACTCTTAAACAAGAAAAAGTTTAAAGACTTTTTGTAAATTGTTAATAAATTACAAACAAATTTTTAGAAAATTAATTCTCCTAAATATTAACATTCAATAAGTTAAGATTTAATAAAACAAGTTGAAAAGAAAAAAAGTAATCATAGTTTAAATATTATATATATAATGTATTTAAAAGTAAAAATATACATGAAAAAAATATTAGAATTCAGGGTCGGATTAGCTCGGGTTACTAGTACTTCAACCTAAGCCTAACCCTAATTAAATTTGAATTGAGATTTTTCAACTAAAGCCTAAACCTAATTGTAAAAATGATTGCCTAAGCCCGTAAAAAAATCGGGTGGGCTCCGATTTGATCCGGATTACCCAACCCAAGTTGCATCCCTAATAAAAAGTAACTTGTGATTTGTATATATAATTCCCAACTTCAAATAAATCAAACAAAAAAAATGAAGGGGCAGATCGACTTGGGTTATGTTAGCAAGACGGTATGTATATTTATAATTCCCAACTTCAAATTATTATATGAATCATGAAAATATAAGAACAAATTGGGAAGTTATATTAATTTCATACCGGAGAATATAAAAAATAACTTATGGTGTATATGTATAATTTACAACTTCAAATAAATTTAACAAAAAATGAAGGAGCAGACTTGGGTTATGTTAGCAAGACAATTACTATATGTATAATTCTCAACTTTAAATAATTATATGAATTGCCTATTAGAATTG